TTCTGCCTGATGAAGGCTTTCTGGCCAACGGACCTCACGGGCCATATGTACAGGTAGTGATAGATCTCAGACAAACTCTTTTAGTCTCAACGCACGCACCTGTACAGAGATGCCGTCAATTATCTGGTCAAGAATGGAAATGCCTATCCTTGTTTCTGCTCTAGTGAAAGGCTTAAAGCCTTTGCTGCGGATAAAATAAAGGGGGAAATCGTCAGATACGATCAAAGGTGCTATTATTTATCAGACACGGAGAGAAATCGTTTGCTCGACAGAGGGTGTCCTCATGTATTCAGGCTCAAAGTGAATGGCAAATTAGAATAGATACGCCCTTTTATATGGTTCAAATTTGCTTCATTATAAATTTTGTAGCTCGAAAATTCTGATACTGAATTTGAAGATCTGATACAAGGGTCTATCAGAATTAATCTGATTAATTCCGAGGGTGATCCTGTAGGTTATCATTAAATTGATATACTTATTTTCAGATTATATTGAAGTCTGACGGTCTTCCTGTTTATCATTTGGCTAATGTCGTCGATGATCACTTGATGGAAATTACTCATGTAATACGAGGCGTTGTAAGTATGCTTTAGTATATTTGTAAAAAATGGTTTCTTAATCAATCTTAATTTTTTCTATTACACGAGTATTTATCAACGTATCTCATCTGCCTACTATCTATTCCCGAAATTAAGCTCTTAAAATTTAAAATCTGTTTCTGGCAAAATTGCAATCGTAGCCATGCGGTTAACAGAAACTACTCTAGTAATTAGCTATTTCCTTTGGGTAGATTATTACTAATACGACTTAGGCCTTGATATTGTAGGGCCTCATTGTGTTTACTAAGCATTATTTAGTCGTATTTTTTAGTTGCTGAAATCGTTGTGGTCCGTTTCGAATCATATTCTTCGCATTTCTCATTTTAGGAGTGGCTTACTTCGACTCCCAAGCATCTTCAGCTTTACAGGGCTTTTGGATGGACCCCACCACACTTCGCCCATCTTCCGCTTATTCTATCCAGGTTAGTTTCACGTCTCAATACACAGTCTGTTTTGAGCCCATTCTTCTAAATATATCGTATCATCTATCAGATAAGCAGATTTACTCATCTGGCACCGTAAGAGTATACTATGCCAATTTGACGTTTTTTTTATAAAAGTGATTCCATAATAACTTCGGGGCTTAGTAGGCATATTAAGATAGTTCTAATGATATACCAAAACTTTAATAAGGGTGCCTTAATGCCAGTTTTGGCTCCTGGTATTTCTTATAATAATTTCCTTTATGAGAAATATGAGGCGTTCTGAAGATAAGGCGACTTTGTACGTGCTACTGATGGCTTGAGAAATAGCACCTGGAGTAAAAGTATTTTGGGGTTGGAATCGAGTGAAATCGGTCACCCAGAAAGATAAGAAATGGACATACGGGCCAAATAGGCAGATTCGGACAGGAGACTAGAGCAGGATCAGCAACTCGAACAGGAGGGGAGCAAGGCAAACAGTACGTGTGATGACGCCACGGTAAATTCTTCAAAATGGTACATTTCTTGTGGAATATAAACATGTTACAAGTGATAGGATGAGGGCTAAACTATAGGGTAGGAAATGGATAGAGGGACCAGGAAAAAACGAGGAGTGATAGCATAACCGTTTTTACAGCATGCGTTGGCATGTGAATAAAGACATTGTAGGAAACGAGAGCACAGAAGGAAATGCAACACTAGGAGGTAGAACATAAAATAGGAGCGATTACTGATGCCACAACGGTTGAACATAAAATTGGTCACTAGGATTGCCTTTATTTGTCACTTCTATAAGCTGTAATTGTGCTTATGGTGGCGCCTCATTGACGATGCCGGTGAAAGGTTTGGGAATCTACCCGGCTAATGGTCCAATGCTGGAAATCATGAATACTATGGCAGAGGACACGGGACTAGATATTTTATACAAGGTCTCCCTGACGCTTCGACCAAGTTGCGAAAACAATGTAGAATCAATACCACATATTTTCGTTCTGATTTAATTTCCAAGATCTCGAACTTTGCCTATATTACTATATATAAGCCTTTACAGCGGCTTGTTTAGGCAGATAGTAGATAGTCACAGTAGTCAATTTGATTGTTAGCAAAAAATAATTCATCCTAAAGCAGGGGCATGAGTACTGTCTGGTGCGTACTTTTCGCCGAATATAAATGTAATTACATTCCGGCGGGGCTAGTCTCCATTAATAATCGGGTTTTGTTTGTAAAGCAAGACGGCCAGACTTGAGACAATCTCCTAACTAACTTATCATCCTCCAGACTTCTAAATAACTGAATCAGTCATTATTTTGCTCAATTAACTCTTCGAAAATGAAAACCCTTTATCATAAGAGCATTTACTATACTTGAAAATTAAAAATCTGATCTAAAATTATGGAGGATATTATAAATATAATTTGATTTGTT